GGATGCGAGGATGCGAGGATGGGGTGGGGTGGGGTGGGGTGGAGTGGAGGGGAGGGGCAGTAGAGGATGTGTGCTATGGAGCATTGGGGAGTGGGGAGAGAAGACAAAAAGGGGGCAGGCGGGAGGGAGGGAGGGAGGGAGGGAGGGAGGGATACAAGGCTGTCTACATACAGGGGCTTCGAGTCCACCCAACCTGAACGACAACAACAACCCGGAAAGGTCGCGGAAGGATCGGATAATCAAACACGAGCTGGACAGTCCGCTGGAGGTAATGATCGTGACGTGAGAAGAAGATGCGGGTGATGAAATGAGGCATTGATGTGGGCCAAATGCGCCCAGATGCAGGGCTGAGTGGAGGCGAACCTCGTCACCATGACGGTCGCCGAAACCCGACATTGGACAGACTTTCGCCACGCATGAGACGTAGAGAAAGGGAGCGGCATTGTCAGGCATGGAGTGCTCGACCCGATCGTACACTCGGATCTCAATTGGCGGATATGGCACATCCCATCCGTAGGCTCGTTGACTACTTGCTTTACTCGCCCTTCCCTCGCTCGCCCATGAGTCCCAGGACTGGCCATGGATGGACCGGGCTCATTGACTCGACTCGTTTCTCGTACCAGCCCTGCACTGCACTGTACTGTCCTGTGCTGTGCCCGCCCCCCCTCGATCGAGTCCGCTCCGACGAGCTTGCCCATTGCAAGTGCACGAAAAATATGTAACTGCATCTCCCATCGCCTTTTCGAGGTGCTTATTACGTTCCTCGTTGATGGACTGTATTTACAGCCGTCTGACACATCCGATTCATGTTTATGAGCTTTTGTCGAAGCGTGTTCCGGTCTCCAGACCTTCTCTACAGAATCTACACCTTGTGCTTGTGTCTGCGAGTTTATGTGTGTGGTCGTTTCGCGTTGTTTGGAAGAAGGGGCCGGAAGGGGGCAGCGTGTTGGCCGTTTGTGGTACTTTTGGTGCAACTTGAGAGTTGTACGACGAGAGGCAATAAATTTTCCTCGGCCCTGTGATCTCCGGCATCAGAATGAATGATTGATTGATTCACAGTCCTGGAGGCTGCATAATTATTGCCGTAGCTGGGCGGGCTAGCTCAATGAAAGGAGTTCGAGAACGACGAGCTCAGCGCTTCAGCCAAGTCATTCACGTACTCCTCAAAAGTCCTTGGCCGGCCATCAATCCATCCTACAGTCAGCCCGGCCAGTCCCAGACATGCCTCGGCCTGGGGAAAGACATGCTCAGACAGGCAATTCTATTCGATCTTCGCTCAGACTGGCCTTCGAAAGAGATTTCGGGCGTCAGGATTGCTCCACTCATGGCTCCTGCCTCATGGGGTTTCTACAGTCGGCAGTTGTGCTCGACACACTGGCTCGAGTGACATGAGATGGACAGGCAGAAGAGGAGGTACCAGCCTATAAGTTATAAAAAACTCAGCACCGCATTCATTCACAAGTTCCATACATGCAAGCACTGCCCTCACTGTTCTGTCTGGGCATATGTCCCCAAGTCCACCGGGCACTAGGACCGTAGACCTTATATATCGGAAGTACTACACTGCAACTACTACTATCGGGAAGCTTGTGTCCGTGAATGCGCAGCAACTTGTTGCATGAATGCGTCGGGTTTGAGTGCCCTTCCAGAATGGGTGGTGGTGGTATGAAAGGTGGTCTATTCATTTTCGGAGCCTACGTATTCTGCTGTCCTTTTCAGGCCTGGCTAGGTGCCATGAGTGGTATGGTGTAGAATCTATGTCGGCTAGTAGTCACAAGCCATCCTCAACGCTGTCTCCAAGACTAGAGGATGGTGGACGGTCCTCGGTCACGTTGCTTGCCCTCCGCTTTCCTTGGCTAGAGCTTCTGCCCTTCCCCTTGCGTTAGTTTGTCGCCAGCTTCAGCCAGCCAGCCAGCCTTTGAAAGATGTCACACGATGCGAGCCATGGGTCAAGTCAGAAACAGCGAGTTTGAACCTGTGCACAGTTTTAGTGGCGGACAACTATCGGCCCAGATCCAGTTTGTGCAGACTCGGAAGGCCGAAGAGGAATCCGGCCCAACGAACAGAATACAAGGCTGTCATAAGAATCTACGTAAGAGCGGAGTTCGTGGCGGCATGGAATGAGGTCCGCTGAGTCGTGAACGTGTAGCGGGTAGGCACAAACGCCACACTGCTGGAGAATGGGCTGCACTGTCTGAGGGTCCAGGGTTGGCTTGTGCGTCGAGACAAAAGCGCATCCTGGGACTCGAATGAGATCAGCGCCATGAGAATCCGGCTTGTTGCAGCAGCAGCAGCAGCAGAATGCTACGGAGTCGAGAGCCCCATGCCCGATAGCCGGCCCAGCTAGCGCTGCACATGCACCATCTGTCGTCGAACAACAGCTGCAGCTGCATTTGGAACAGCTAGCGCCGGGATATGTCCATGACATCGTCAATGGCAGCGAGGTTGATCTCGCCACAGTGAGTGTCTGAGATCATCGATTCAATGAGCATCCGAAGCCTTGCCACCCCCGGCTCATCATCCAGTCTGACCTCTCCGTTCCTTGGCTGCTGCAGCGGCTGACGATCCGAAATTGCCGAAAAAGTGCTCTCCGCATGACCAGATCCTGTTGAGGATCAGACTCCACACTGCTCAGGCAGATCGGTTGAATAAGATGGCGTGCATGTAAGCATACCATCACAGTATGGCGAGTAAGTTACCTTAAAGTGACTGATAACAACAGGCTTTCAGAAGTCCAGTGACGGTGAACAGGGCCGGGGTCCAGTAATTGTTATCCATTAGCGCCAGTGCAGGTGACGACGACGACTTGTCGCACGACCACACGATACGAACAAAATATGGATCCCGTCTATCGACAGCGGGATCATGTTCAAGCAAGAGTGAATCCATGTTCGCAGGACACCCAGGCCCGGGTCAGAATAGTCCACTCCCCACAAGTGACGTGTGACCAGGTACCCGGATTCTCACCTTGGGGGAGGGGAGGGGGAGGGGAGGGGGGAAAGCATGATGATCTGGTATGACAAGAGATCGATTCCGATCCGGAACATCTCTGAGAAACTGTTGCACATCCCCTGGAGATTTTTTGAGCTTGAAATTCGCGCTAGCACATCACACAACCAGTCTCGTCCGCTTCTGGAGCAACAGAGCCAAGCTGAAGCAGCGCTGTCACGAGACTCCAATTAAATAACACCTTTACCGGATCATGAGTTCATGTCACAGCTCATCTGCATCTGCATCGGGTCCGCATTTAAAGCATCCTGGGGAGACGCAAAGTTGACTCCATTAGCCCACCCCTCCCCTCCCAACCCGCGAGTCAGAGTCAGCGATGTGGAAATCGGCCTACCCATCCAATCAGCATCAGCCCCTCTCTCGACCTCTCACAGATTCGTCAAACGGAAGTTCTCCGATCGTGCCCGAGCGCCAAGTTGGAGTCAATCCAAGCCTCGATCATTTTGCCGGCTAGCTTGATCCCCACTTGCAACGACAGGTGTGCTCTTGCTAGTTACAATCTGAAGTATGGAATTTGCTACCGCCTCTGACGCTTCAAGCTTGCGGCTCCAGTCCCGGCGTCTGATCGCTCATCGATCTGCCTCCCTCCCTCCTCCTGTTGGCGCGATTCTGGGCTCCTCCCTTCTCAAACGCCAGATCTCCCTTCCCAAAATAAATCCTGATAAATTATGTCCCTTCCTGCCGTCCGCTGCAGCAGATCGATTGCAGTGCAAGCCCCTGAGCGGTTGTCTGCATCTCGGCTCGCCTGGCCAGGCCAGCCGGGCGGCCTTTCTACTGGATTGGCTTGATATTATGATGAAGAATGAAGGAATGAAGGAATGACAGTGAGAGCGTAGCCGATCATGATAGACAGAATATTCATACTCGTGGTTCTGCCAGGGAGCCAGCTAGAGCACATATCAACCGCTTGCCTGCTCGTCCAGGACTGTCCACAGCACTTTTAGACGGCTGGGTGATATCTGCTGCAGCTTGCGAGGTCTCATGTGTGTTCTTACAACAACGTGGGCAGGTAGATTTGTTTCTCTACCTGAGAGCAAAGATGGCAGTAGGGCACGTCTGGTTCCCGCACATGAACATTGTCGCATTTACTGCTGTCGACAAATCTGTCCGACTGTCTGGTTCGATTTTCTGAGAGTGAGATCTGATGGGGCCCTATGTTTGGTGCATTTGACTCACCCAATGGGGACGATGAAGCCATTTTATTTCGGCACAAGTGTTCCTCGTACATGTGAGACGACCATGGATAGATGGACGGATAGGAAGGTCGTCGTGGCCAATGAATGAGGCCTACAACAGGCAGCCCGCTCGCTGGCTGTGCTTTGACATTGTGCACGTGGATGTGATACGCGCTGTGCTGCGAACAGTTGCTGTTCGACAGCTAAAAGGTTCAAACAATCCGTGGCCAGATAGTTATAATAAAGTGAAAGCAAATTGACCCTTTACCGCCCCCGAAAGAATCGGGCTTCTTCGACAAACTGTACAAGTCTTCGTTCGGAGTAAATTTGCCTCTGTCACAGCCAGGACATGTCGGAAGAATTGACAATCGAGGTGCTGGTTTTCTCCGCGAGAATGAAGGAAAAGCTTCTTTTCACTCTTCGAGTCAGCGAGCCAACAAGCCAATTGTGAAATCAGCCTCCCTCCGACTTCCGTGTCATGGACTCGGGCAATCACTGGTCGCACTCACTGCACTGGGGATCGCAGCTCAGAACGTTCTAGGCTATCTCCGAGTGATCGTGCAAGTGGCATGGGATCGAACCAAGAACTTTCCCCCGGGCTGCTGCAATCCGAGCAAATGTATACTCCTTTCCGGGCTTGACCTCCCAAGACGATCAGCAAGTCGTGCAGAAGAGCTGATGCTGCTGCATATGCACACCGAGCACGAAGATTCGCATGTTGGCATGCAAAAGAATCCTAATTGCACACATCGAGCGAGAGCAAGCAAGTTGAAGCAATCGAAATTGGATGTACACTCATAGAAGGATCATAATATTGAACAAGGGGATCGATTCGCCCGATTAAAAAATGTTCAGGGGGTACAATTTTGCAGCTGGTACAGAAGCGCGGTCTTAGATACGATAGTGGGGGGCTGAGGGTGGGGGACTTCTTCCACCACCAGCCAGATCCAGACACTCGCTCACAGAAGAAGAGAAAAGTCGTTCTGATGATAATATGGGATAGCGCTCACAGAAGAAGAGGACAGTCGTCCTGATGATGTGAGATCATCATCCCTGCAATCTCCGACTCGAGCCACGTCCCCGATCAGTGCACGCTCCTTCTCTCCCTCTAACATCTTTCTAGCTTGCTAGCTAACTATCTATCTATCTATCTATCTATCCATCCATCCATCTCTCGTTCTACTGATCCTTTGAAACTGATTCCAAGGGCACCCACCGCCTACGGGGAGGACATAAGCTACATACGGGGCTGATATAAAGGAAGGCAGCGAGAGTATCAATCACACTAGAACCTTCTCGACGATTGCTGCTAGCTACCAATCTTACACCTAATATGCCATCCATCCATCGCTCCTGCTGGGACTGCTTGCAACACCGGTACCGTCACGAGTGCATGAGAAGATCGTTGGGTTACAGGTTACGGGAAGGTCGTGACTGCGCAGAATGGCCGCTGACCCATGATTCATTCGCTCTCCGAGGTTTCTGCTGAACGAACTGAACTGAACTGAACCGAACCGAACTGAACTGAGCGGACCTGCAAGGAACCGAATCGAGCCGAGCCGAACATAGGCGAACATATCCGAAGCGAGCTACGCTGAGCTGAGCAGTGAAGTGAAGTGAAGTGATGAGCAAGAGAATTGTCTGCAGGATCTATAGCCAGAGAGCGCCGGCTTGTTTCAACTGGGGGACGAGAAATCCTCCGATGTGCGCTGAGATGAGCTCCTCTAATCCACCAATGTACTTCTTGCCGATGAAAATTGCCGGCAGCGCCTGCGAGGCGCCGGCCAATCTTTGCAGAGCTACGACGATCTCAGGCCCCGAGCTCTCCTGATCTAGTTCGTAAATGGCCGGCGCGACGCCCAGACTACTGAACAGCCGCTTCACCACATGGCACACGCAGCACGAGCTGATGCTGAACATGACCACGGCGTTCTCGGACGCCACTCTCTCCAGGCTATCCCACACCTCGGCGGTGTTGTACGTGCCTACGTGCCGGGCCACTACGGGCTCGGTGTACACGGCGCCATTCTTGGTCGGGTAAGCGCTGGCCCCCTTGCCGGCGGCGGCATCGCTGAACGAGATGGCTGCGGGCGGCGGCATCAGCTGCCTCGTGATTTGATCGGGCACTTGGCTCGCCGTCGCGCTCAGCTGCGCTCCCCACTGGAGCGATTGCGGGTGCGGGCTCTGCATTTTGGCTCAGCTGCGCTGCGAGAGAAGCCGCTCAATTGGGTTCCGAGCTGCCGCTGGACTCGAGCAATTTGGCCGGATCCGCGCGCTGGGCCTGCAGCAAGCGAGGAGGTGGGCCGGGTCCTGCACGCTCGCGCTCTTCGCAGTCACAGGTCCAATTGCTGCGAGGGCTCGACGATCTTGGCGCTGTTAGTCGCGGGGTCAAGTTCCATGTCAGGTTGGCTGCAAGACTCGTCGTGCTCAGACACGGCGGCGCCTAATTACGTGGTTGGATCTGCGTTTGCGCCAAGGCCTCGATGAGCTCCGGAATGCTGATAGATGGCTGGACACCGGCCTCGAGACCCACGGCTAGACGATGGCGCTGCCGGCGATGGTGCCTGTGCAGCCGCAACCGGTCAGGGTCAGGGCAAAATCAGCACAACAACAGAGCACACGAAGTTCGCCGAGCCGACGAGCAGAAGAGAAGAGGTCGACGGCAGAGCAGCACCGTGGGCTCGACTGCAATACACGGCAAATTGATGGTGAGACAAGTGGACTTCGGGGAGAGAGAGCGAAGGGAGCTGAGGTGATGTGAGATGAGGCGAGTCGCAGAGGATGACGAGATGAAACTCACAGAAGAATGTCACAGAGTCCTAGAAATTTCTAGTCTTGCACCGAACAGCGAGAGAGTGAGAGAAAGAGAAAGAGAGAGCGAGAGCCGTGTGTGGGTGCTGTCAGTCTGAACTCGGAGGAAGGAGAGGGCGTCTAGACATGTATGTCTATCGGCCTCCAGAGGACTCGGACTAACAGATCGCGTAGCAATACCTGCCTGGTCGCTCTCTACTAGCGCAATGTAGACTGGTGTGCTAACGATACGTGGTTGCACTGCTTCCTACAGCAGCAGCGAGGTAGAACGCCATGATCCCGTTCTTCTTCACGACGACGTCCACATCCACATCCCCCGAACACTCTGGATAAACTAGCGACAAAGTAGTCCTCCTCCGCAGCCTCCTCCTCCTGTTCACAGATCTGTCCCCCAAACCTCATTCCACTTTGCTAGAGTATTTGTGCTGCTTCTGCTCATCGTTATTGGACCAGTGTTGTGAGGCTGCGGCTGCTGCTGCTGCGTGCCTGCCTGCCTGCCTGCTGCTGCTGCTGCTGGCTGGCCTAGTAGCGTATCGTCCACTCTCACAGGTCAGTCAGTGTTCCTGCATCTTGCCTCGAATACTTATATGAAGCAGAAGCAGAAGCAGAAGCAAGCAAGCTTGCAAGGAAAGACAGCCGGATGGGAGAACCGGACCAGACCAGACCAGATCAGACTCGACTGGGGCCGGTCGTGTACAATATTATGGCGATGATCAGCAGCAGGAGGAGGAGGAGGAGCAAACGTACCCAGCTGCTGCTGCTGCGCTTGGACTTGCCTTGCCTTGCCCTTGCCCTTGCCTTGCCTTGCCTTTTGCACTCACTTCACTTACTGCAGGCAGGCAGGCACAGGGTGCCGGGTTTTCTTCTTCCCGGAAGGAGGGAGCGACGGAGCGAGCGAGGAAGGCGGTGGACAGCAGTAGACAGTGTCGAGGGCCAAAGTCCAAACCCTAAAGCGTGCAACCGAAGACAAGGCGCTCATCGTTCTCAGCCATCTATGTCATATGTTGATGATGAGGGCTATACGTATTCATGGCCATGCAGTCATGGTAACAGCGAATCGTGCGTGCTACGGAGAAAAGCGCCTACGGAAGCTCGACGATGCAAATTACGAGAAAGGAATATTGTGGTTGTGGGCTGCAGCCCCAGGCTTTCACGAACCGGACGAACCAACCAGATGCCTCGGCTCCACCGATGCAGTCACGGACCGTCACTGCCTTCAATGTACATTCCTGGTAAATTAGTTTGTACATCGCCGTTCATGATTGTCAAATTGCGCCCCCCCCCCCCCCCCCCCACCCCATCCCCTTTGCCACTTTGCGTCCCGTTTGCATTTACTCCCTCCTCCTCCTTCTGTCCAGCTGTGGGGACTTTTCGCTCCTTTCCCCCTCTCCCTCTTTCCTTATATTCCTTAACGGCCTCCCCTCCTCTTTCCCTTCCCTTCCCTTCCCTTCCCTTCCGGTCCTGCGCGCGGACTCTTTCTGTAACCGCCGGTTCGTTCCCGGTCTCCGCGTCCCATGTTCCGTCTACAACTTTACACCGTATCGCCGGAACACGACGTCGACGACCATTTCGTTTTGCAGTTTCCGTAAGGGAAGAAGAAGAGCACGTATACAATGGCTTACGCCGTGAATACAATTGGTGGGAAAATACTCGAGTACATGTACGTGACTACTATTCGTGTACTGTGTCTCTGTACTCCAATCCGAGATCTTGTTGTGACTCAGAGGCGACCGAAATCGCGATGAGTGAGAAATTTCCCAACTCTCCGTCGGAAGTTTGGGAGGGAGGAGTAAACTCGAAGCAGCCGTTGGCGTTGGCGCCATGGTGAGGGGAGAGGTGAGATCCGAGAGCTGATTGGGCTGAGAGGGCGACGAGGAGGGCTGCGGGCCGGTCGGGAATAAAATCTGGGGCTGCCGGGCAGCGGCGAGAAGAGGGTTCGGAGGGAGGGCCACTCCTGTAGATTATAATTGACCCATTATCATGAACAATGAGTACGCATTCGTTACACTTGACGTTAGATCGAAACGCCGGATTCGCAGAATCGTGTCAGAAAGATGCTCGATCGACGGCGCGAGGGGCCTTCTGGCGGGCCGGAGGCGCCGGGGGTCGTCGATCTCGTTCCGTTCTCGTCACGCGCCGTGTGTTGCTCTAACGTCAAGTTTCGTTACAAGCTACGGCTGTTCATCTGCAGTCGCCCTCATCAATGACCCTCTGAACCAAATTCCCCCGTCATCCCGAAAATGTGCCAGACGCTCAGCCAAGCCGGTCTGCTCGACATGTCGGCCAAATGCATCGCCATCGATCATGTCATGCCGTTTGTTCGGGTTTCGGACCGGCCCCCGCGAGTACAATGGGCGGGCACGGTGACGAATTCGACGACGGTGTGAAATTTGCTCGCCATGCCCCTCCGCTGCCCCCGACCTGGTGCATGCCGATGAACATATTTCTCGGGGGCATGACTTTGGGTGTTCCCGCAGATATTTATCGCTCATTTATGCCGGAAGTGATTTTCTCAAGCTTGGTGTGTCACGTCCCAAGGCGATACAGAACCTCCCGAGAACGTGTCTGTCATTGATCATTCATCATCATGATGCTGATGGTGAATCAGTGGACAGGGCTGAATAAGGAAGTGATCGCGAAATATATATTGATTTCGCCCCCTGAGTGGCCCGAGCCATTGGCTTCGCTTCTGTTCCACAGTGACTCTGATTTCCGATGTTTTGGGGCTGGAAAAAAAAAACTCTTTCTTCCCTTGACTCGTCTTGACCGGACTTGCGCTTGGCTGGACTGACCGGTCGGGCTGAGGCCTCCTCTCCGATCACGTTACCTCAGGTCGTGTTCTTCTGTTCGACCGAGGAGCAAGAGAGAGGACGACGATTTTCGCTGCACTTGCGTCCAGTGCCGAGGCCAAATCCTTACCGTTCCAGCCCTAGTGTTCTCTAGAGGCCTGAGTACCATAAATGACTGAACAAGTTTCTCTTATGAAAGAATGCGAAAAATATCTTTTGGCCTTAACTCCGGTGGGTCAATGAGCAGACGACATGTAGTCTGTACTGACGTCTTTGGTTCAAACCCGCAACCTTTCCATGGTTGTGGTACCAGACTTGCGTCATCTTGCACATACATCTGTCAATGGAGACTTTTTGTGATTCACTGACCTCTCTCCCCATTCCTCCCTCCCTCCCTGTGCTCGTGCCTTCGCTTGTTCTCGGGTTTTCCAGGATCATCCGGGTTCTGATCCGGGAAGGCCATGTAATTATCTCTCCACATGTCTCGTCTCGTACACCCTAAAGAAACAAGCCCTATCCGAATCGCTTGTTTCATAACCACCCGAACCACATGCCGCCCAACCAAAAGGTGCTGGAATATCTCTTACTATTTATTTTTCGTACCACATTTCATTCCCCTGCCCTCCAAAATCGACCCGTCGCGTTACTTTTAGACCCCGTCAGGTTCCTCTCACCCTTCTCCTTACTGAAAGAGCGATTGTCATGGTGGTCATTGGCTTCACGTGTACCGGCCTGGATGCATACTGCTTGAATTTGCACCTTTCTTTTGCGCTGCCAGAATCATAACACTGTGAATCTCCTTGTAATTTACTTAGACATATGTGTGGAGAACTGTGATGCTTATTACTGGCACGATATCATTAGAGTTTAGCCTATCACGTTTTATCAACCAAGATATGTATGTATATGTGGAGTAAAGGATATCAAAACATTTCAAACCATGATTGTGAGAGGAGGTTTCAATCTCTTAAGCGTGATACTTTTCTTCAATCCCGTGTGTGGTATTGAAGACTGAAAGGAAAACAAACGACGGAACCTGAAAAGGAAACCCCCAAATCTCTAGCAGCCACATAAGGTTCCCGAAACTTTATTTGTCATTATTTCCCAAAACTCAGAAAGGGTTCTTCCTATCTTTAAAAGTCTACTAAGAATGAATTTCTTTTGCACTTACCAGCTAAAGATATTTGAGAGAGGGTTTCTCTATCTTATAGGAACTAAGCCAGACTTCAAACACATATTACATGGGTATGTTCTGAAAACTCTTAAGAGCATTAATTTGAATTAAACTTGTAAAATCTTATGGAGCAACATTAGAAAAAAGATTGGCACCATTGTATCAAACTCTATATTGTGCTATATATATAGAGTCCTGTAGACATATCTATTATATTATTTTTTCTGCTATGGCGACTAGTTTGGAACTATCATCCTTTCAAAAGATCTGAATACTATGTAATCAACTTCTATGTCATATAATAAGTGTAAGGAGGAGGTAAAAAGTGGAAACCTTAGTCCTTGAGTGGTGCCCCATACCACCGCCACTGAATGTTAAATACTTTTGTTGTTGAGATATTAAGGTAAGTGATTTTGCTTGTCCATTTTACAAAGATTTGGAGATGAGATTTCTAACATGTGCATTAGTCTTTCTTGGGAATCACTAATAAGAAGCCTTTAACATACTTTAACTCATTACGCTCCAAAATTCCATACAGAGTATTTTTCAATCATGCGAGGTAGTATTACATTGTCACAATATGTTTGATGTTACCATTCTCTCCGAACATTAAAATATATCATGTCCAACTTGTGACATAGCATTTCTTCTAAGTATTTCATTGTACACATATAGGATTACAAACTTGTGAAACTCAGCCTATAGATCATCCAAGTTATTAATCAAGTAGATATACTACATGTATGTTGTAATTTTTTTCTAACTCGTTATACATAACTTTTTAATGTTCACTCAAATAAATTAGTATCCCAATTCTTGAAAATGTCAAGACAATCAAAATTATTTTGTAACCTTCATCTTCACTTACTTTAGCCTGCTTTTTTTCATTCACTATACCAACATGAACAAAATATTTTTATTTTTTATCATTTCAAAAGCCAAATCATCAAATACACTATGGTATAGTGTATTTGGTAAAATTTTCTTCTTCTAGTGCAGTCAATTTCTTGACATCATTTTAACTGAATCACAAACCAATGGTTCATTATAGTCATTTAAGAATTTTTTGTTGTATGATTCATGCTCTAATATCTAAAGAGATTGATATCAAATTAAATACTACATCTAAGAAGTGTCATTCTTTTGGATATGCTAGTGCTGCAAAGAGACATAAACTATATCATCGAGAATCTTGTGAATGTTTTGTTATTAGAGATGTTTATTTCAATGAATCTAGATCATTGAAAGAAAAGAAGAGACCTCAGACTCCCTGTATTTGCAAGGAAAAAACTCCACACACAAATGTTGTTGAAGGAAAGATTGATCATTATATGATTAATGACACAAAAAGAAGCTCCAATATAGATTGATCAAATTCTTTAAGAGCAAAAATTAGAATAACACAAGTATTTGCATCAAACAATAAAGATCAACCATAATATACATTACTAGAAGATCATCAAGCAGGATTAGTAGATTTTTTACAAGGTATGAATTATGGATAGATTTATACATTTTTGAAGATCGTGATATTCATACAGATGTCATTGCATTGATTTTAGAAAAAAAAAACTTTTTATTATGAAAAAACTCAAGCTTATGTTAAGAAGATTGAATGAAATGTTGCTATGGAGGAAGATATGCAATTGCTTAGTAATAACAATATTTTGTAATTAATGAATATTTACATGTATGAGGATTCGATTGATTGTAAGTGGATGTACAAGTTGAAGAACAATCCAAAAATTGATGAAAGTAGAATCTTCAAAGCTACATTGATATCTATAATTTTCATACAACAGAAAAATGTGGACTATAACTAAAAACTATAACAAAGATTGTATTTATTTGTTTTATATTTGAACTTGCTATATTATTTAATTTGGTTATGGATTATATGATTGTAGTTATTGCATTTTTTACAAATCGCTAGAGGAGAACATATTCATGCGATCATCATTTATCTTTTACGTAAAAGACTTGCACATCTTGGCAAAGAATCAATCTGACGCTGATAGATGCAAAAATTAGTTAAAGTTTGCATTGAAAAGTAAATATTTGGCTTTTAAAAATTCAAAA